CTTTGATTTTCATTCCTGGAGAACTTCAATAATTCTGGCTTCCCCTAAAACCAAGGGTCTCCAAATTTGGCAACTTTAAGACTTGTGGACTTTAACTCCCAAAATTCCCCAGCCAGCATGGCTAGCTGAGGAATTCTGGGAGTTGAAGTCCACAGGTCTTAAAGTTGCCAAATTTGGAGACCCTTGGTTTTAGGGGAAGCCAGAATTATTGAAGTTCTCCAGGAATGAAAATCAAAGTGTATGAGGGGGCATTTATATTGATGCCAATATAAATCCCCTGCTCAGGGCTAGAATCCATATTATAACATTCACAAACAACTATATGCCTGGCCTTTAATTGAATACAGGTAATCCCCTATTTAAAGGTAAAGGTTCCACTTGCACATATGTGCCAGTCGTTCCCAACTCAGTTTCAAAGCCGAAGAGCCAGCACTGTCCAAAGATGCCTCCGTGGTCATGTGGCCGGCATGACTAAATGCTGAAGGCGCATGGAACGCTGTTACCTTCCCAACAAAGTTGGTTCCTATTTTTTGTCTTGCATTTTTACATGCTTTCGAACTGCTAGGTTGGCAGAAGATGGGACAAGTAACGGGAGCTCACTCCATTATGCAGCACTAGGGATCGGAACTACCGACCTTTCTGATCGACAAGCTCAGCATCTTAGCCACTGAGCCACCGTGTCCCTATCCTCTATTTACAAATTCATTTAGTGACCGTTCAAAGTTACAATGGCATTGTAAAAAGTGAGTTATGACTGCTTTTCAGCATCATGTGATCAAAAGATCATGTGATCAAAATTCAGATGCTTGGCAGCTGGTTCGTACTTATGACCGTTGCTGTGCCACAGACTCATGTAAGTCATCTTTTGCAACCTTCTGACAAGCAAAGTCAATGGGGAAGCCAGATTCGCTTAACAACCGGGTTTCTAACTTATCAGCTGCAATGATTCACTTAACAACGGAGGCAGGAAAGGTCGTAAAACGGGGCAAAATTCATCTAACAAATGTCTCACTTAACAATGGAAATTTGGGGCTCAATTGTGGTCGTAAGTCAAGGACTACCTGTATATTTATTTATTTATTTATTAAATCGATTTATAGGCCGCCCAATCCCGGAGGACTCCGGGCGGCTATAGCCAAGGAAGGGAGCCCACCATCTCTCTGGATAAATGGTTCCATAGACAACCTGCTCTTACGCTTGGAAAGTTTCCCCTGCCATCTGAATCTGACCTCTTATAACTGGTCCTGCAGTCTGGAGAGAGACAGAAAAAATTTGCTCACAAAGTTGTGCGTTTTAGGCTGATGCTAAAATAAGTCGTTGTCTGACGGGATTTGGAATTTCTCTCTCTTATTTGACTAGCAACAGCATAAACGATTGGCCACAGCTTTACTCGGCCATGGCTACTTTTATTTTTTCCTCTACAACCATTTCAAATAAGAGGGGATCGGTATAGATTCCTTGGTTCCCCTTTTTGTGCTCCCCGCAAGATCTGGCTTAGTCGTAACAAGGTGACGAGTCCCTGGAGTGGACATGACAGAAATAGGAAATTCTCTGCCGTAAAGATTTTTGGGGGCCCAATGCTATTTATAAGCAGAAAGAATCTTTTAGGTCGCAGAAGACGCCAAAGTTAGGAACTGAACCAACCTTCCCCCCACAAACACTCCTTGATGTGGGTTGGAGAAAATTAAGCCAGGCCAATGATGGCTAACCTTTTTGCTGCCGCATGCCAAAAGCACGACGTGACCTGTCAAAACCGCGGTAGACAAAACCGCGCTCGATGAAAGCGCGTACCTGACGTCATCAGCAGCGCGCCGAAAAAAATTAAAA